ATTATCTCATTTACTAATATTATACTCTATTAGAAACTCTAGATACTTTTATTTAAATTCTATTAAATTAATTAAATTAAGTTTCTTTTATAGTTAGACTGACTGTGTAATTATATCTGAGATCAGAATCAGAATTTTTAATAGTCTTATTATTAATTCAACTAATCTTATTAAACTGATCATCAGAACTATAAATTTCATATTTGATTTCATTTAATCTGATCTTATACATTTCTTAGCATGAATCTCACTGAGACTAGCTATTAAAAAAATGTGAAAGGTGTAAAGCTTGTGTGATTGAAAGGTTGCTAGCTTGTGAAAAGTTATATGATGAAAGAATTAGTAAGCCAGATCACATGACCTGACATTCTCACTCATCAGAGTAACTATACACAATGCTATATACAAAATTCGCCTTCAAATCAAGTACAGATACAAAAAATGACTGAAAAATATGAAGTAATGAAAAACCAGTCATGATATACATTATTTTTTATCTCTCTATCTCTTCATCTTCATAATCTCCTTTCAATGTGTATATTTCAATGTTTCAAGTGATTTAGTAAGTTCATTCACTGTGTTCTCAGCAGATGAAACATATCAGATAGATATCTCATTCTTGCAGACAAGATTCTGAAGAATGTGAAAATGAACCTCTATATGCTTTGAGCAGTGTTAAATTGCTTCAGAAGAGAATAGCTCTATGACAGACTTATTATCAGCATGAATTATATAAGTCAGATCATTGACTGTGATGAAAATAAGATGATCATCAGCATTCAGATTGTTGAGACAGAATGAGATGAATTCAGCATCTTCTAGAAGCTCTCAGAGACAGACAAGCTCATATACAGCCTCAGAGAATGCAATATATTCAGTCTCTGATAATGACTTGAAGACCTCTGTTTACCGGCAGCTCTGCCATGCAACAGGGCCACCTGTCATGTAGATGATATAACTGGTGATTGAACAGGATTCTGAATCTCTACCGGCTCAATCAGCATCTGCATATACTACAGGTTCAATTTCAGCACCTCTGTGATAGGTTATACTCTCATTGATTAAACTCTGTAGATATCAGAGTGTACACTTGTATATAGCCCAGTTCTTTAATGTAGACTGAGAGCTGAATCATTCAAGGAATCCTGCAGTGAAGCTTATATCAGAATGTGTATTGAATACAAGATATTGCAGGGATTTGATATCAGATTGATAGAACTGTAGAATAAATTCTGCTATATATGCAATTGATTTCTTATTATTATTCATGAAATTGATGTTCTTCTTCATAGAAGTGAATATAGAATGATAGTCATTCATTAAGAACTTCTTCAGAAGATTTCTTATAAAAAGAGATTGAAATAATATCAATGAAGTTAAATCTCTATCAATCTTCATTTCTAGATAGCAGTTGAAATTCTCTACATTCTTGATCTCATAATTAGTGATGATTTCAGCTTTGACTCAGTTCAGATCTCTGATTTTCAGGCTGTAGAGACAGACATCATTCACATAGATAATTATATAGATCTGTCTTCCATCATGAATAAATAGTCTGATATCATAGAAACTGACATAGAAGCCTGAGTGTAATAGCATCTTTCACAGCTTCTCATATTATAAGAGTGCTGCCTGCTTAAGACTGTAGAGTCTCTGTATCAACTCATACATAAGATTATCACAGTCTTCACAGAATTCTGTGAGTTAATTCATATATATCTGTTCATCAGCAGGCAGTTGAGTGTTCAAAAATACAGTTATCATATCAATCTGCAGAACATATCATTCCTGAGATGCTGAGATTGTCATAAGAGCTTGTGAGATGAATGTAGAGATAACAGATACAAAGATTCTTGAGTAATTAACTCTCTTCTATTGAAGATTTTCACAGATAACTCAGCAAGTCTTATAGTGAATAATATCACTTATATTATTGAACTTTTTGTCAAATACTCATTGACTGCAGAGAACACTCATTTATAGTATTCTCTTAATCAGTTATCAGACTTCTATCTGTTTCAAATAGTTGATCTCTTTAACACAGATCTTGTAATAATACTTTCATTTCATGAAAGCTTTGACATGTGTGAGGTTTTTTGAGATTGAAAGTACAGTGATCTCAGAATCAGTGAATAGATCTTCAAGACTGTTACTCACTAAAGCTTCCCTCACTGTAGTGATATCTCTTATAGATGTTGAAGAATCATCTGATTCAACTGTGAATTCTGAGAAGTTCAGTGTATTCTGCACTAAAAAGATAGATATTCTCGCGGAGATATCATAGTCAATTCATCAATTATTAGTGAGTATGAGAAATAATGAACACTCAGATCAGATTTTCTCATCAATAAACAGATCAGAAATCACTGCAGTCTTTTGACAGACTGCAGTGAATAGATCTGATGTCACTGAAGAAATTGCTGCAGTCACTTTACAGACTGCATTGAGTAGAATCTTCAGATTGTGTATTATCAGTATCAATGAATTGACAAGATGAAGGTTCTTCTGAAAGATGACATCTTTTGATATATATAAACATCTGTTGAAGAGGTTCATTAATCTATAATTAGTAAAATCATCATATCTTATAAAAATCAACTCTTTGAAATGGGAAGCCATCTTATTGATGAGCTTGGAAACTATATTCAAGAATGCTTTGCAACCTCATTGATGAATGTCATCACATGCAGAGAGTAGAGCTTCAAGTCAGGCCTCATACAGTGTAATCAGCTTTGTATTTTCAGAGCTCTCATACAATATTGTTAAGGTTGACATAAGATTAAGCAGCTCTGTGACTGCAATAACTGTCTCATCTCATATCTTTTTCAGAGCTGAAGAGTCTATTAATAGTGATTAGAACTTCTCAATAATTAAATTGATTAATTATTCAGATACTTCATCTTACTGTGAAGTATGAGAGAGAGTCAGCTCTCATTTTATATCTTCACTGAGCATGTATGCTGTGACTGTATTTGAATTCAATTCTTCACAATCTGAGTGAATGATTGCAATGCCACATCTCAGCAGATTCTTGATAAATTAATTGAAGATCTGTAGATATCTCAATGTCTCATTCTTGTGTTTTAATAGAAATATTCATCTCATACAGATGACATCATCTGTTATCATCATTGCAAGCTTCTTATCAGTGTAAGATGATATATCATTCTCAGTTTCAAGGGTCTCACCATCACTGAATATATTCACTCAAATCTTCAAGGCCTTGCGGGTGGCACAACATGGTGTGGAATTCTTGTAGAAAGCGCATTTCTGTTTAGTCTTAACACATATGACATAGAATGCTAATTTCTTCAGGCTGATAATGACAATATCAAATTGCAGGTTCCTGGTTATTTTTAATATACTATTTTCATTAATATGATCAAGTCAGTGATGCCACTCATCTATCAGAAGCTGTTTCAGAAGAACTGCAGATAATTAAGATAAAGATAAGATAATAAAGAAATCAGTATCTGAATTCTTAGAA